ACACACACACACACACATCTTAAAAGTTGGTAAGGTGAAGAAACACTGGCTGAGGGGAAAACAGGGATTTTAAAAAGAGGACTTCTCCTAGCTATAGGACTGCAGTGTCTTTTGTGCGAGCTCATCGTTCATTTATGCACACCAATATTAGCCAAGAAATTGTTGCAGGCAAGAGAAAGTTTCAGGCTTCAATTAGATTTACCATTTGAAGTAGTTTGGATAACAGTAACAAAGAATGAGAAATGAAATGTAGGTGGAAGTCATTTTTGCAGCATTGAAGTCAAGACAGTGAAAACATGCTATAGTAATAAATCATCCACTCTTCCAGCATTCTCTAAACTCTTCATCAAAATGATATTAACAGACTGAGAATCATACCTGAGGTTCAGAGACTACTTATGAAGTAAACATATGATGCTCCTTCCATGTGTGTGAGAGAGAGGGGGGGGGAGAGAGAGAGAAACTGAGGCTAGAGCAAGTCTCTTACCAAGGGAATTTGAATGTAAAGGTGGTTGGCACCTGCTTTGAACTAAAAGTAGAAAAACCCTGAGATATCGGAGCAGTGCTATCATGTCACCCCTAGTCCTTCTAGAGCAGGGGGGTCAAACTCAAGGCCTGTGGGCCAAAGACTTAGATTTCACCTTGGGAACGGTGAAGGACCAAATTATGAAATTTGGAATCAAATGTATCCAAATGAGGAAAAGGAGTCGGAATAGAATATTTTGAGGATTGTAAAATTGGAAATGGATAATACATAGATAAATATACAAAGGAGGATAAGGGATATGTCAATACGATGAATGTAGCTATGTACGCTAAGTAGAAACTGTATTTGTTGTGTTGAAATATGTATGGAAATGACAAAGCCAGGAAGGTCGCTCTATGGCCCATGTTTTTAATGTTTATTCGATAAAAAATTTTAAAAAAGAAAGAAAGAAACAGTGAAGGACTGGCTGGCGGTGCCTCTGCCAGCAAAAATGGCCCTCCCGAGCTCTGTTTTCAGCTGCAGGGGCCTCCAACCCTCTGCCAGTGAAAACAGAGCTCGAGAGGGCTGTGCATGCGCCTCTCCCCGCGCTCCATTTTCACTAGCAGAGCACTCGGGCCACCACAGGTGCCCCAACACAAGTGACATCAAGCTGGCCACACACACACACCCTACCCCTGCAAGCTCAAACACAACCCTGATGCAGCCCTCAATGAAATTGAGTTTGACGCCCCTGTTCAGAGGAACTAATTGGCCTATTCTCTTCTAAGCAAAGTCTCCGTCTGATAGATTTTCCTCTAGATGTTTTGGGAGTACAATTCCCAGAAAAGAATTCTAGGAATTAGGATCCCAAGATCATTGGAGTTTACCAGTTTGAGGAAGTTTACTTTTAAGCTACTCTGTCTGTGGTTTTTATTTCCCATTTTACCTAGTTTTATGGGTTTTCTTTTTTTTAAAAAAAATTCATGGTTCTAATCCCTATGTTACATGCATTACTATATTTACATTTGATCCTCCAGGAAGGATATTTTTCACATCTAAGGCTGGAGTTTTAAGTGGAAATTTTTAAGTCTCTCGTTTATATAACCACATTCTTTGGTGGATCTGAAGTGCTGAGGTAATGAGTTTTGTGATTTTCAAATGTTCCTGAGATAGTTCTTCCCATATGTAAAACTGAATGCGACTGGGAGCCGTGATTCAAAAGTCCTAAAGAAAAAGTTTTCTCTAGATGCAGTTGCCAAACACTGCCACCCATAGGAGTGGCAATTTGGTTTCTTTTTTTAAACTCTCGCCTTTTTCAGAGAAGAGCTTCAGATATTTCGAAACTAAGCTCTAACTGTTCCTTCTACGCCAGGACAGCATTCACATTATATGGTTTACTATGTTATTTATACAATTTGAACAAGGCATGCAGATCTTTATGAGTGTTTGTGCACATATAGTAGCTGAATCTCCATGTAGGAACAGGAGTTAGTATACCATAAATAGTGACAGGACCAAATTTTGAATTGGGAATCTCTAGCTCAGGGGTGTCAAACTCAATTTCATTGAGGGCTGCATCAGGGTATTGTGTTTGACCCCGGGGTGGGTCTGGCCAGAGTGGGTGCGCCCCGCTTGACGTCACTCATTTTGGGGGTGCCTGTGATGGCCCGAACGTTGTGCCAACAAAAATGGTCTCCCAACCTCCATTTTTGCCTGTGACGGCTTCCTGGAACCTTCTGCAAGTGAAAATGGAACTCGGGGGGAGGGCTGCCCACAGCCCTCCCCAGCTCTGTTTTCACTGGCAGAGTCACCGTGGGCCAGTCCTTTGCTGTTTCCAGGGTGGTCCCACAGGACAGATCTAAGCATCCCATGGAACGGATATACCCATACAAACATGTACCCATGTTTGATACTCAAGCTTTGGGAATCAGATCTGGGTATAAGCATGATAAATTAAATAGCTCAAAGTTGACGTAGGTGTTCAATTGTAGTGATGAATGTCAGAAAGCTTACTGCACACTCGTAACAGAAACATTCTTTAGATGCAACTGGAGAGATATGGCTGCTGTTCATGTATTAGTTTCTTTCACATTACTTTAGAAATAGTTTTGCACGCTCAGAACTATCATCTAGGTGTGTGAGAAGGAAAGTATTGCTTGCACGAGGTGTAAATACAAAAGGAAACCAGAGCACATTGGAACTAGTGGTTGCTTCAATATCAACAATACCACTGCAAGGATAAGAGGCAGCCCAAGTTTGTCTATCTATCATTTGTTTGTCTTTTGTTAGTATTTATTATCTGCCACCAAAGCCAGAAGATTCTAGTACGCAATGAGTGCAAAACCATTCAAGATAGATTCTCACAACCAGGGAAATATGCATAAAATGTAACTTCTATGTAAACTCCAAAATACATCTTTATAATAAAATCAAATTGTCCTGGAAATTTTCAGCACAGCGCACTACGTTGAGCATTGATTGTGTCTCCGTTGTTTAATATTATTTTTTCTTTTCTTGTCCCACAGGACCTGCAGAGGTACCCATGATGTCCCCCAATGGATCTATTCCTCCCATACACGTGCCTCCAGGTTATATATCACAGGTATGCTTCCTTCAGCAGGAGAATGTAGCGTGGCTGGGTTGTGTGATCTCTACCAATTCTGTAATGGCATTTCTGCAATTTATCTCCTTTTTGTTTAAAGAAAAACAGACAAAGGTCAAGCTTTCAAGGCTGGCTTCGAAGGCATGATGTGAGCGTATGTGGACAATGACTAGTTAAATCGGAAAAACTGTAGATTTCATTCCCAGCAGTAACTCTTTGCCCTCTACCTAATTACTATGAGCTGTAGGAAAAGAATTCTTACGCACTGTGATATTACAGTTCATTGCCTTATTTTTTCAGGCCATAAGGGAGATAATTTTGACACTGGTTTATAAGCCAGGCATTTCTAGTAATTCTATTTTGGCTTCTTTTATTGTGACAGTTCCTATTTTTTTTGACTCTTGTCAGTTGAGATGTTCCTTATGTCATCTCTTGGGTTGAGTATCAACTGCTTTTTCCACCTCAACTTAATGCATTTCCATTGCAAAATAAATGGATAAGGATTTCATTTATTGTTTTTCCTTTCTGTCTTGGTCGAAGAATCAAATACCGTATTTTTCGGAGTATAAGACGCACTGGAGTATAAGTGCACCAAGATTTTTAAGAGGTAAATTTAAAAAAAATACTTTTTGCATTCTACAAACCTCCCAAACCCTCTGCACGCCTCATTTTTTTGTGAAAAATGGGGCATGCAGAGAGTTTGAGAGGCCTGCAAAGTGCTCCTGGGGGCAAAAATGAGCAAAAACCAGACCCTTTTTCACGAAAATGGGCCCGTTTTTTGCCCCCCAAAAGGGCATGCATAGCCTTTAGGAGGCTTGTAGAGTGCTCCTGGGGGTTGGAAGGGCAAAAATGAGCAAAACACAGCCCGTTTTTGCTCGTTTTTGCCCTCCCCAACCCCCAGGAGCACTTTGGAGGCCTCCCAAGCCTCTGCATGTCCATTTTTGTGAAGGGGTGGAGTTTCGGGAGGCCACAAATACTGTATTGAGTGTATAAGTCACACTCAGATTTTCACCCTCTTTTGGGGGGGGAAAGGTGCGTCTTATACTCAGAAAAATACAGTACATTTGGTGACTGATTTCTACACATTTCAGTGTATAGATCAGAAGGAGCTGAAATATTTTCTTAATAGTGTTGCTAGTTTCCAGCAACCGACCAGGTATTTGTTTATCTGGGAAGGCATCCAGAATTCTGCCTATCTGAAAGAGACTCTCCCATTTCCATCTGGTAGACCATGTCAGCTTATTTACTTTTAAGTGCTTCAGGATGAGATAGATATGGTCCTTTCGCTGATGCTGAACTTGTAAAGGAATGTAGAACTGACCTTAGGGACAAGAAAGGAATGGAAGGGCCATTAAGGAGGGATTTGCAGAAGAAATTCTGAAAAAGAGCATGAGAAAGAAATTCAAAGCTATCTCACCTTGGTTTTTTAAAATTTAATTTAATTTTTGGTATATTGTGGAATAGGGAGCAATTTAGTCAGGCTTTCAAAATTCTGATACTCTATCTTACTACAATTCTATGGATTCCTAGAATCCTTGCCACATTGATCACTTGATCTAGCCTACTTCATAATTCTGTTATGATAATATTACTTTATTTGATATTCATTTTTGATACCTTGTTTGAAATTATGCTTTACTGGGGTATTTATTAATTTAATCAATCTACATTTACAAAGTTTTCCAGTCAGCACTAACTCAACGGGATGTACATGATTGAAAACAATGCATGCTAATAAAAAAGATATAAAAATATAGCAAAACCATGTAGCATCAGAGGCAACTTCAGAGAGCATAAAACAGTCAGAGATCATCGAGACGGGCACAAAATATCTTGATTTAATGCTTAGGATAAAATAGGTTGTCAGAAAGACAGAGAATGATGTAGATCTGAATTTGAAGAGGTCGATGTTGTTTCATAGTTGTTGCTGTTAATTGCAAAGTCATGTCTGACCCATCGNATACATACATACATACATACATACATACATACATACATACATACGTCTAGATTAGTGGAAATTGAATAAAGAATACTGCAGCGCAGAGAGTTGAAGGATAATCACATAGATGCAACTTTCAGACATCTTCCTGCTTGCACAGGTTGCCATGGTTTGGTCTGCAGCTTCCTTTTTGCATGGCTAGAATTTAATTTAAAGTAGACCACTGAGAGAGAGACATGAATTTTCCAGGGCTCTTTTGTCTCAGAATTCCCTTTGTCATTTTTGAAGCCTTTGGGTTCAAGAGTCTTAAATTCTGGTGAAAGGATCTTAGAGAAGTTTTCTTAAAACCGAAGTACGTGATAGAGATCTAAGACTGGAGTACCATATGGGTGATAATAGAAGAAGTCTATCTGTGTTTGTCTGTGAGAAAGCAAGTTGTCTCCAGCTGTTTTCCACCTGCCATGCTCTGAACTTTTAAATTCCTTTCATACTTGGCATCCATCTAATAAAACATTTGTGCTGCCCCCAGAAAGTAATTATCAGATATGTAGCAAATTGCTCTCAACATCATCTGGAAAAGTCATATGTAATATAAACCTGTACTTGTGAGTGACTAGGACGCTGTTAAAATATCAAATTACTTGCATTACTTTGCAGGGTTTTTTTTTCTTTATGAGATCTAAGATAAGTTTAGAGATAAAATTCTTGAAACTTAGCTTTCATTCAGGGTAAACTAAAGAATTGTCGAGATAGAGTGCTCCATAATCAGCTCTTGTAGCTGGTTCTTTTTTTTGGGGGGGGGGGATTGGTTGTTGATTACAAAATCCACTTTGCTCATATGAAAGTTGGTAGACATGGTGGCCTTAATGATTTCAAAGTAAAGTTTTACACCTCATGATTTTGCTAACACTGTCTTTAAAATTAGCGCATAGAAACGTGTTCCTCTCCTTCCCCCCAAAAATGGTTTTAATAAGACAGATGGCTGAAAATAAATATCTTCAAAACATTTATTCCAACTACCGTTTTCCTACTTCTCAATGTAATTTTCCATGTCTCGATTATAATGTACATTTATACATTATAATCTATAGTTATATACATTATATGTCGATGTAGGACTCACAATTGAGCCTAAAATTTCCATTGCTAAGCAAGACAATTGTTAAGTGAGTTTTGTCCCATTTTACAACCTTTCTTACCACAGTTGTTAAGTGAATCGCTGCACTTGTTAAGTTAGTGATACAATTGTTAAGTGAATCTGGCGTCCCCATTGACTTTGCTTGTCANAATCAGCAGACAATAAAATAAGAATTACGAAAATTGTCTAAGTAACTTTCGACTTGTGGCTACAATTGAGCCCAAAATTTCTGTTGTTAATGATAAATTTGTTAAGTGAGCTTTGCCATGTTTTATGACTTTTCTTCCTACAGTTGTTAAATGAATCACTGCAGTCGTTAAGTTAGTAAAACGATTGCTAAGTGAATCTGGCTTCCCCCATTGATTTTGCTTACCAAAAAGTTGCGAAAGTTCATAAGTATCAACCAGTTGCCAAGAGTCTGAATTCTGATCACATGATCATGGGGATGCTGCAAAGGTCATGTTATTTTTTTCAGGGCTGTTGTAACCTTGAATGGCCACTAAATGAACGGTTGTAATTTGAGGACTACCTATAATGCAAATTTCTGAGGAATCAGTTGTATTTAATATCAATTTGGACACATCAAAAATATGTGCCTGAGTTAATAGACATCTTGACATTGGGAAATAAATCCAAGGCATATTTTGCAACTTTCTGACAAGCGAAGTCAATGGAGAAGGCAGAGTCATTTAACAACATGCTGCTCTTAAGAACTGCAATGGTTCATTTAACAACTGTGGAAATAAAACGTTGCAAAATGGGACAAAACTCACTTAGCAAATGTCTCACTTAGCAATAGAAACTTGCTCAATTGTGGCCATAAGTCAAGGACTACCTGTATATAGTATCCTCTTTGGAGAGATTAAGCTAAAAAATATCTTTCGGAGGGATTCTCACTGTCACACCTTGTGTGTAGGTTTCCTCAAGGCTTCTGCTGAATTACTGAGCTGGATGGACATCATACACACTGCAATGCTGTTATGAACAATATTAATAAAATATTGGGAGATTGGTTCATGGGCAATATTTATAAATGATCATTACATGATTGCAGAATAACACAGTTGGAAGGGACCTTGGAGATCTTCTAGTCCAACCCCTTGCTTAGGCAGGAAACCCTGTACCATTTCAGACAAATGGTCATCCAATCTCTTCTTAAANGTTAAATAATTTGTGGAGGGTTGATTCTTATTCATCACATTACAGCCGTCTTATTATCAAGACCCAAGAGACTCCAGTTTTCATTATAAAATCCACATTCAGATCACTTGATCTTAACTGCCTTTCCAGGTATCTGCACATCCCCTCGAGGATTTCTTTTTGTGTGTTTTCAAGCAAATCAGTAGTGATGTGCATCTTAATACTGTCATCGGAATAGGAAAGAAGAACAAATGACCTCAATAAAGGGAAATTAAATTAGTGGCTTAGTTTAGTAGCCTGGATATGCTAAAAAGCAATATCAGTAGTGACTTCATTGGTTATAAACAATCAGTACATTGCAAGGGGTTGATACAGAAGATGCTGGGACCCAGAAGTCCCCACCCTTTTAGTCTTCCGGAAGGCCATAAAGTATCTGGTTATTCCCCTTTGGAGCTTAGAGGGTGGGGGTGATAGACTGCATCAGAGTAGAATGACTAAGGCGTCCGGCTTTTGACATTTTTGCCCAGTGTTACTGTTGTGAGCTATTCAGAGTTATGATTCTTAGCATAGATAGCCATAAAGTCAAATAAATATATAGGAATTGTTCCACATGATAGCAGTGTTCCAATATCTAAGGGACTGTCACAAAGAAGAGGAAGTCAAGGTATTCTTCAAACACCTGAAGGCAGAACTAGAAGAAATTGATGGAAACTCATCAAGGAGAGAAGCAACTTAGAACTAAGGAGAAATTTCCTGACAGTTAGAACAATTAATCAGTGG